CTAAGAAACAGACTCTTAATTATAGAGAACAAACTGATGGTTACCAGAGGAGAGGTGGGGGGAGTGGGTGAAATGGGGGGATAGGGAATAAAAACTAGATTTATGATGAAATAAAGTTAAATGCAGAATTCATCACTAGGTGGCAGTGTTGGCCAGCTTTAAATTTATCAAAACTCCGTGCTGTCAGAAATTTGATACTAGATTTATATTTTCTATCACTGATTTTCTGATCCAACTGATGTGTATACATCCTCCTGGATTCTCAGCTGAGCTTTCAGGGTTGGGGATCCTGTTTAATCTGTCTTTGGGACCCCCAGGGACTGGCCCCAAAGAAAGCAGTGTCCCACTCCAGGTGATCTCTTTCCTGCCATGGTCTTTGTCTCAAAGTTGTGCTTGTATGTAGACCCTCACATTTGGGTTGATTGAGTTGAGAAGCTGGGGAGCCCATAGAAGCATTCCTGAGGCCATTGGCAGAGATAGGAAGCAGAGATAGGAAGAGTGGTTTCAGCTGCCTTTGCCGTCTTGGGGCAGGAAAAGGGGGCCTGATAACTCATACCTGCCCAAAGACTGCTCCTTTGTTTCCCTTCCTCCCTTGTAGACTCTCACAGTGGAGGATCCAAGCGTCCAGAATGATCACTGCCAGGCAAGTGTCTGAGCAAGGATACTCACTGCACTGAGATCATGAAGGGGACAGGGTAGGCTGCTGGTGGGCCTTTGATTAGGAGTGAGTGGACTCTGCAGACCTCTGCCAGATGAACACAGATCACCAGATGAACTATGAGGTCAAGTTACTCCTGGCCATCCTGGCACATGTGGGAAATCCACACAGTGCTCAGGATGACTGTCCTAGTTTGGGAGTTGGTTTCTCTGACCTGGCTGTCTCGTCCACTTTGCCTTCTGGAATATAAGCCTCCTTCTCCTGTTACCTCCCCGCCAAGTCACCATTTGAGCTCAGAGGGAACTCCAAGATTGAGATGAGAATACTTTTCCCTAGCTGTCCACTCCCTCAATTTTATTTTATTCAAGTTGAAATACAAACCTTCCCAGGCAAAACCGGCTGCCATTCTCAGAAGCTGCTGGACTAGAAACCCGCCTGGCCACCAATCCCTGGTTGCACTTCTGTCCAAGATGAAGCCACTTCTAGTTGGGCCAGCTTTAAAGAAAACCACAAACTGTGCTCCTGACTGCATCAGTCAGGTGTGAGCTGGGGCAGATGTGATGTCTCTGTTGAAGCCCTAAAGTAGTGTGAGGAACAGTGGTTGTCTTCATCTGGCAGAGGCAGTGTCCATTGAGCTGAGGTGAGGCAGTCTACTGAGTGCAAAGCCAAAGAAAGACAAGGAATAGGGAGAAGGCAGGGCATGAAATCTCCAAAGCTGAAGTGCAGCCATCAAATATATCATGGAGTCTCCCACACTGGCAAAAGCTGTGATTTTTTTTATAAAAACTGAAAAAGGAAACCTTTGGATATTAAATCTGGCATATTTTTATGGGGATGAATATACCACTTGGAATTTTAGAGCTAAAGGATTAAGAATTTGGCTACAATTGTTCTTTTTGTAGATAAGAAAACTGAGGCCTATAGGGGAAAGAAGAGAAAGAAAACTGAGTCCTGGAGACATCAGGGGACTTGCCACATGGTGGGCTGGGGGTAGAGCAGAGGGTCTGGTCCCATCTCCTAGCTCCCTGTCTAATGCTGTCTGTCTACTTGGCTTCCTCAAGGGCTGATGAAGGAGGAAGCCAGGGTTTGAACTATGGGTGATGGTGGCCATGGCTCAAAGTTCTTACAGCTTGGCCCTCGGAGGGACCCTCATGTGTCTGTGTGATTACCACTAATAATCACCAGCCTGGCATTGGGTGAGAGCGGCAGGTGCTGTCGGCACAGTAAGATTGTCCACTCAGGAGAAGCAGCTCAGATACTGAAGAGAGGGGACGTGGGCCTGGGGGGGCCTTGCTCTGCCTTCCTGTGGCCCTGTGGACCCCAGCAGTTAGAGGATTGGTTCTTCCAGCTGTCAACAACTACCAGTCACACAAGATGCCACTGTCTTGACTGACGATGCTCGTGTATGGGGTGGGGTGGGGGACTCATGGAGGTGAACCCAGGAATGGAAGTCCTTTCTGTAGGTTTGTGGATAAATGACACCCCTAGCTTTTCATACTCATGGAGAGCTAGGGGAAGCTCAGTTTCCAGAACTTGGTGTTGATGAAATTGAGTTAGCGTATTACTAGAACTGACAGAGAACAGACCCCACCACAAAGTCTGGCTGCTGTTCATGCAGCACTGCCCTCAGATAGGAGATCCCCCAGCTCCACGGGGACGTTTGGCTGCCAGCCCAGTGCCACTTGGTGTTGGTCCTGGTTTTCAGATCCTGTCTTGCTTTTTGGTGGTGAACCCTCCCACTCTGTGGTTGCTGTGCATTGTTGGGTGAACCCCGCAGGCCGTAGGGTTGGGCAGCTTATCCACAGGGATCTGGTGCACCGGGTTACAGGATGGGAGACAAAGGTTGTGCTGCAGCTGTATGGGAATCATTGAGTCCCCACTGCTGAAGTGGATGGATACAAACCTCCCCACACGTTGTTATTACCACTGAGGTCATGGGAACATTGGGAAAGGGGAGCCTGGGCGGGGGGGGGGGGGGAAGGTTTCCCTGACACCCTTGGGAAACCACTCCCAGACTTCCAGCCAACCAGGTGTTCTCCTTCTTCTGACCTGCTTCAGGCTTTTATTATTGAATTTTTGTTTTGGTTTTACTTTGTATTTCAGTCACCTGAGCCAGTGTCTTTCTCATCGCCTCTTTCCCCCCTAGTGGCAACCCTAAACTCAAGGGCTGTGCTTGGTTCATCCCTGTCAGCCCTTAGCCCTGGGCCCTGCACACAGGAGGGGCTCCACAGATATCCTTTGCACGTCATTGAAGAGAAGTGTGGAGTGAAGAGAACAGGAAAGGAAGAGATGCAAGGTGGGTAAGCAGAGAGGTGTGAAGGTTTTTGGGGGGCACCTGACTTTATGGTGAAGATTTGGTGAATCAGTGCTAGGTCTTGCTGGCTAGGAACAGGCAGGTCTCCCAGGCCCATTATTAACAAAACTGTTTCTCAGGAAATCCAAGTGCTCCGGGTAATATAGGTGGTTGGACCTAAGAAGGCAAACGGCAAAGGGGCTGTTGGTGGGCTATTCTCTCCAAAATGAACATCAGGCCTAAGATGTAAAGTAAGCCCTAGCTACTCATGGGAAACCTCCCAGGCCTCTCTACTTCTGCATCTACCAATGTACAGCTTTTAGCTCCAAGGGCTTTGCTCTGGGCCTCTTGGGGAGAAAACGTGACAAGCACTGCCTGGATGGTCTGCTGCTCTCTTAGCACCACTGGGGGCCCATGGAAGCAGTCCTGTGGATATGGCGGGGCCAGGCGGTCAGTGGCTCTACTTTGTTCTAGTTCTGGGACATGTGCTTCTTGGCCGCAGAAAGGATAGCCTTGACCTCAGGGGCCCCCAGGGCTGTGACACTCAGAAGGAAGGTCCCCAGGTCCTCTCTTGGGTAATGGGCTGCAGGAAGTGCAATTCTATACCACCTGAATTCTGAAATGTTTTATGTACACATAATCACTTCTCTTTACCCAACCTGAAGGAAACAAGAATTGTGTACTTCTTGATTTTTAAAAAAGGTTTATTTATTTGGTGGGGGAGGGGCAGAGAGAGAAGGAGAAAGAGTCCTAAGCAAACTCCCCACTGAGCTTGAAGCCCGATGTGGGGCTCCATCTCATAACCCTAAGATCACAACCTGAGCTGAAACCAAAAGTTGGACGCTTAACCAACTGTTCTACCTAGGTGCCCTTGTTCTTCTTTATTTTAAAGTTGAGTCAGTTCTATGCACTTTTCTCATCATTCTCATGGGATCTCTTCCTCTGGAAGGCTACATGGGCTCCCTTATGGCATCACTGCTGACTTCCAAGAAAGCCATTGCTGCAGCTGGGCCCTCACAGGGCCTAGATCTGGGTCTGTAGGGAGGAACGCCTCCCACCTTCCAGCATCAGAGCAACCCACCAGCCTGAATTTGAGAGATGTGGCGGGCAGGTTCCTCCTCCTAATGGAGCAGCCCACTATCACTTACACACACAGGATAAAGTGTTAGTGGCAGTCTTTGGGACTGCCTGCCACAGTTATAATCTTCACTGACAATTTTATATTTTCCTTTTTTTTAAAAAAGAAGATTTTATTTATTTATTTGAGAGAGAGAGGGAGAGTAGCGGGGAGAGGGCCAGAGGGAGAGGGAGAAGCAGACTTCCCGCTGAGCAGGGAGCCCGATATGGGGCTTCATCCTAGGACCCTGGGATCATGACCTGAGGTGTAGGTAAATGCTTAACTGACTGAGCCACCCAGGGGCCCCAACAATTTTTAAATCTTCTATTAAAAATGAGGATTCAGGTCAAATGGTGACACAGATACTGTGGTGGGAGCAGGAATGCTGGGTGAGTGCTGCTTTTCTACCTGAACACCGTGTGCTCTTTAGTAAGCCTGTTTATTTCTTTGGGATCCCTTTTCTCATTTGTTCCACCAGGGCACTGGTAATTGGTGGGACTTGATAGCTGTAGATAATCTTTAAACTAAGTAAACAATGCATTTGGCACAGAGCGAGGCACATGTCTAATGCTAGCTATTGTGACTCTTCTGCAGCCTTAAAATCCTCTATTCTCTGGCAGGAGACAGGCATAGCAGACACACACACACACACACACACACACACACACACACACACACAGCAGGGTGTGGACTTGAACTTCCAGTGGAAGCTCTTCTGAGATATTCTCCCCTGCCAGGTCTTTCCCTCTGCAGGTTTTATAGCTAACAGGAAGGAATCTTTCCTAGGCCCAAAGAACTCAACCAACCAGTTTTCCAAATCCCCTTTCTCCTCGATTTGCCTTCTTTATTAGGCCTTTATGGCTTGGGTGTTGAAATATTTAAGAATCGGGTTGAGGCAACCTTCTATGAGTTTCCTTCTGTCTTCCTTGGCGTGACAACAAAAACAGGGTCTCCAGTACTGGGCTTCTTGTGTGCCCGTGGCAGGCTAGACGTCCACAGATCCTATTGCGTTTAGTCTTGACGGCGGCCCAGGGGAAAGAGATGTTAGTCCTGTTTCCTAGGAAAGGAAAAGGAGACACAGGGAGTTCAGGAAACTTGCCCAAGGTCACAGAGCTAGAAGAGTCAAGGTCTTAACCCAGGCCGCAGATGCTGCAGCCACGGTACCGAGCTCCTCGTTTGGCCCAAGGGGGCGGCTCAGGTGTGTTCTGGAGGGTGGGGGACAGGTTGGCCTGGCTCGCTGACGGGCTCACTCTCCGGGGCGCGCAAAAGGGTCGATACTGTGACCTCGGCCTCTGAGATGCTGCAGGGACGTCACCGCGGGGGCCTCAGGCCCACTGAGCGCTCGCTTCGCTCCACCAGTCGCTGCCGCTCTGGGCCGGGGCCGGGGCCGGGCCGGGCCTGCGACGCACGTGTCGCTGGTGTGTCTTTGGGTCTTTTTTGTTTTGTTTTGCGCGGTGGGTCCCCAAGAGCCACGAACTGAAACCGAAACAGCCCGACGCCCGGCGTCAGGACCCGCCCGCCACCGGGAGCCTCCCGCCGCGGCCCGCGCGGGGCTGGGAGACCGCGGGGGGCGGGGCGGGGCGGGCGGGGCGGGGCGGCGGAGCCTGTCGGGGCGCCCCCTGCTCGTGGCTCGCGCTCGGGGCTCGGAGCGCCGCGGGCGTCGGGCGAGATGGCGGCGCGCGGCCTGGGGCGCGGCCTGGGGCGGCTGGTGCGCGGCCTGTGCGGGCGGCCGGGGGGCCCGGGGGGGCCGGGGGGGCCGGGGCGGCCTGCGCGCGGGCTCAGCGCCTCCCCCGCCGCCGCCGCCGCCGCCGCCGCCGCCGCGCAGCCCGGCTCGTACGAGGCCCGGAGCGCCCTGGCCGCCCGGGAGCCCCCCGCCTTCTGGGGGCCGCTGGCGCGCGACGCGCTGGTGTGGGACACCCCGTACCACACCGTCTGGGACTGTGACTTCGGCAGCGGCAGGATCGGCTGGTTCCTGGGGGGCCAGTTGAACGTGTCCGGTGAGTGGGCCGCGGGGTCCGGGGCGCCCGGCTCGCGTCCCGGTCCCGAACGGAAGCCCCGGGCCGGCCCCCGGGAGGCCCCTCCTGCAGCCCTCGCGGCCGCCGCCAGCCCGAGCCCCGCGCCCCCCCCCCGCCCGCGCCCCTCGGTCCACCGCCCGCAGAGCTGGGCGCGGGGCTCCGTGCGCTCCGGGGCGGGGGGGGCGGGGCGGGGGGCTCGCGGCTGCGGCTGCGGCGAAGGGCGCGGGCCCGCAGGGCGGCGGGACCCCCGCCCCTGTCCCGCGCCTGGCTCGGCCCCGCCACTGCGGTTCCCGGCGACCTGCGTGGGGAGAAGGTGCCGCAGGAGCGGGGGCAGGAAGAAGGCCCCGCCGGCAGTGGGAACCCGCGCTGTCCTGGCCCTGGACCGCGGGCGGGAGGGAGTGCGCGTCCCCCGACCCCCGGCCGAGCCGTGCTCGCGAAGCCTCGCGGCGGCGGAGACCCCGAGCCCGCTCCAGCAGCCAGTCCGCCTTCCGGTACCTGCGAGGACCGACTCCACTAGTGTTCCCTTAAGATCCGCAGGAGCGGGTGGGCGCACTGTACTCCCGGGCCACAGAAGGAGAAGGCCCTGGGGCTGGGGGTGGTCGTGGCCAGGCCGGGAGGAGGGGGTGGGGTTAGGCTCCCAGGGCAGGACGGGAGTTGCAGCCACCTGCAGTAGCCAGAGGGCTGCCTGATGCCCCGGACCACGGAGCTGGATGGAGGCTGGGAGCTGCCTAAGGGAAGGACCTGCCCATCTTCATGGCAGGGCAGTGACTGGGCCTGAACTCCTAGGTAGGATCTGGTGTCTGGCGTAACGCCGCCATGCACTGGCCCAGTTTTCCTACTCCTCTGAACTTTGGTCCGTCCCCCCACCCCCACCCCCACCCCCCGCCCTTACCCATATAAACTGGGCAGTCATGCCCACCTGCTAGTCTGGTTGTGAGAACACAGTGCTAGAAGGTGTGCAACAGCCCAGCATTTCTTGGTCATCAGTAAGCAGTAGTGAATTCAAGTTATTATATTCAGAAATAGCTATAAAATTATGGGTAGTGTGTTCCAGTTAACTTCCAAACAAAGAAACTTAAGGGAACTTTGAACCAGATCTATGTTTTTTTTTTTTTTCCATATTGTATTGCTTTGCTGGTTTAATCAAAATGAGCCACTTACTAGATAAGTGTTTTCTCTAAAATTGAGTCAGCAGCAAGTGTCCTTGAACTAGTGAGAAAAAAAAGTAAACCCTTAGGTTTGCAGAGTTGGTGGAATGTGCCTCTGAAGGGAAGGAGAGCAACCCACCGCAGAAATGCACAGAAAGTGCAGCTCCTTGAGGCCGCTTCTGGAACGGGAGGCCTGAGGCCACTGTGAACGTTCACGGCTGGCTTGTGTCCACTTGTAGCCTCTCACTCTTTGATAAGACAGTGGGGATGGACATCACGGGGCAGGCGCAAGGCCCTTGTGAACCTCACTCAGTCAGGACTGGGTGTGGTCAGCAAGCAATTCTGCTTCTCCTTCCTTTACGGCTACAAAAGAAAGCAGCTGAGCTTCAGAAACTGTTGTGTTGAAAGACAGCTTTTCGCAACTTCCTACCTCTAGGGCATATGCTTGCCCACTCATTTGTCAGGAATACCTCTGCCCTTTGCTAGTGTCTGCAAACCACACAGGTGACAGTATGGTAAAGGGCTAGGCTGTAGCTGCCCTGGGACCTGGGAAGCACCTAAAAAGTTGTTGGCCTGATCTTTAGTCAAAACAATGATGGTTTGTTCCAAAGAAGCATTGCTCTCAAAATTGCCATTAGCCCCTTCAGGAGGGTCTGTGCTGGCAGTTCTCAAGGTGGGGTCCCCAGACTAGTAGCATTAATATCATCTAGAAACACGAGTTCTCAGACCCCATCCGAGACTATCAAAATCAGAAACCTTGGGAGTGGGCTCCTGCCATCTGTGTGTTTGTGTGCTTAAAGATTTTATTTATTTATTTATTTATTTATTTATTTATTTATTTATTTATTTATTTATTTGGAAAGAGAGCCAGCATGAGAGGAAGAGGGACAAGCAGACTCCACACTGAGCATGGAGCTTAATGCAGGGCTTGACCTTATGACCTTGAGATCATGAACTGAGCTAAATAGCCAACTCAGCCACCCAGGTGCCCCCATCTGTGTTCTTAACAAGCTCTCTAGGTGCTCCTGATGCACATTCAAGGTGTAGAACCACTGATCTCTCTATACCCCCAGACCAGTGCAAATGAAGGTACTTCTGAAATAGTCAGGATTGGGATTAGTGTCCTGGAGATGACTCCTTGAAGCAAACAAAAATGGTATATGGGTGACGAATGGGTATAATGGTCCGGGATATATCTAGCGTCACACCTAGGTTTGAATCCTTGCTTTCCCCTTAGTGTTCTTTGCATGCATCTCCTCATCCGTAAAGATAGTGTGCAACTAAACTCTGTTCTAGTTACTGTTGTTGCCTATCCGACCACCCCAAGCTTAGTGACATAGAGCAGCAACCGTCTTATTATTCTCCCGGATTTTGTGGGTCAGGACTTTGGACAGGGCATGATGGGTAAGCTCTAGGGGTTGGCTTATTTTCGCTTCTGAAGGCTGTGTGGGGTTGTTGCAGCTGCTCTGCTTCTCACTCCCAAATCTGAGGCCTGGCCTGAGATGACTGCAGGCTGCGCCGAGCTGGAACTGTGGCCGGAAGCACCTCCACAGGGCTTGTCACAGGATGGGTGACCAGAGGTCTCAGAGACCAATACTCAGAGCCAAGCTGCTAGGCTTCTTCTGACCAGCGATGTACCACCTGGGGACATCTGGGACTGTTGTTAGCAGCAAAGGAGAAAACGCTTGTAAAGCATTCCTTGCACCCAACCCCTGGCTTTTGTTATTTATTAATGAATCATGGGGAAGACTGCAACCTTGAACTTGGCCTTCAGCAGTATTACTGGAATGCTGCTTCCTCTGAACAGAACCACATGTGTTTGCATGTGATCAGTCTGGGATAAGTGGGAAGCAGGCTAGGGAAGGCATGCAGGTGGCCAACATGACTCTCAAAATTCATCCTGGGTCTCTGGAATAGGCAGGTCACCAGGTGGGGCCATGGTGTCAGAGGCCTCCTGGGCAGGGCAAGGACAGCCTCCAGTTGCTTCTATTACATTTATGTAAACTACTTTGCAGAAGGTTCTTTGGAAAGCCAAGATCTAAAAAGGATACATTTTTTAAAATTAAGTTTTTGATTTTAATTCCTGTAGAGTTAACATATCGTGTTATATCAGTTCCAGGGGTACAATATAGTGTGATTCAACAATTCTATACATTATTCAATGCCCATCAAGATAAATGTACCCTTAATCCCCTTCACCTATTTCACCTATTCCCTTCACCCACCTCCCCCCTGATATTTGCAAATGACATAGCTGATAAAGGGTTAGTATCTAAAAAGAGTTCTTACCAGTCTTTAAAATTTGGCTTTGTCTTTTGCAGCCCTCAGCAGGTAAAAGTTTGTGCTCTGTGGCACATAAAGTCAGGATGTCAGGAAGTTGCAAATGTAGAACTGGAGAGTAATCACGTGTGTTGCTTTCAAAGCACACAGCTAAATTAGGTTTTCTTTCTTTCTTATTTTTAAAGATTTTATTTATTTATTTGAGAAACAGAGCATGAGCAGGGGGTGGGACAGAGGGAGAAGCAGAAACAGACTCTCCTCTGAGCAGGGAGCCTGACTCGAGGCTTGATTCCAGGACCCTGGGATTGTGACCTGGGCTGAAGCCAGACACTTAACTGACTGAGCTACCAGGTGCCCCTAAGTTCTGTTTTTATAAGGACCAAATTCAGAGTCAGATTTTTTTTTTTTAATAAGGGTTTTCTTACTTCTAAGCAAGGGTGTAGAAAAACTATTTTTAATTGGCCATTGAATACAGAGATTTCTGGATTCTTTTTGGAGCATGAGTTGAAGCTATGGAAACCATTTGCTGTGCTTTTTCTCCTCTTTATGACTGTACCTCTCATAATGCAGAAGGTAGACACACTGAGATTGGCAAGATGCTGCATTTCTGTGCTTCATTTTTCTCTCAGGGATGAACTTTTGTTTTTGCGGAAGTTTATTTATTTTTATTTTTTTATTTTTGCGGAAGTTTAAATGAAAGTGTGACTCCTGGCCCTAGGGGGTGGGTCTTCCTGAGGAGACTGGATTCTTCCCAGTTGTTAGATGCATGACTTACCTTAAATAGCAGATGCTTCTGGAAAAGTTGGCAAATACAATTTGTGACTGATGTAATTTCTTAAAATGTGCCAGGGAGAATTTCTATTTAAAGAAAGTACATTGTGAATCCTTTTGTGAATATTAACTCCTTCATTTCTTTTGATTAAAATTGAATTTCCGGGATCCCTGGGTGGCACAGCGGTTTGGTGCCTGCCTTTGGCCCAGGGTGCGATCCTGGAGACCCGGGATCGAATCCCACGTTGGGCTCCCGGTGCATGGAGCCTGCTTCTCCCTCTGCCTGTGTCTCTGCCTCTCTCTCTCTCTCTCTCTGTGACTATCATAAATAAATAAAAAAAAAATAAAATTGAATTTCCATACGTGGGTTCACTTAGAGTCAGGGAGGGGAAGAGATGTGTTTAAACAAATGACAAGAATTTTTTGAAAATTCCTACATAAGTGTGTGCCATCTTTATAATGGAAATGATAATCCTATTGTAATCCTTTTTTAAAAGCAAAACTCAGGGGCACCCAGGTGGCTCAGTCAGTTAAGCATCTGACTCTTGATTTCGGTTCAGGTCCTCACCTCAGAGTCTTGGCGCAGGTCTGGCTCCATGCTCAGCAGGGAGTCTTCTTGTCCCTCTGCCTCTCCTCCCGATTGTGCTCTCTCTTTCTCCCAAATAAATCAAATCTTAAAAAAAAAAAACCCTCAAAACCCATGAGCCACCAGTAGGCATTTGCTTAACTGTTTGCAGAGTTGCGTTAGGGAGGGTGCAGACTTGTTCTTAGGAACACGATGGAGCCTCATCTCACTTCATCCTTGTGACACTGATGTGAAGTGGTTGGTGGTCCCACTGCACAGATGTGGAAGTGAAGGCTCCAATTCGTGTATAGCGATGAACACTACAGAAGATGCCCAGTGCCCCGGGGCCTGCATTCTATCTAGATGAACCACACATCAGTGACAAGTGAATCCACATTGGGGTAACTTGCTCAAGGTTATGTAGCTGCTAAGGAGAGAATTATCCCCCCCACCCCAACCCCATGATAAAGGAATCTTAGGGACATGGTCCTTGTCCTCAGGGACTTGTAACCTAGATGAGGAGGACTTAGCAAAGCCAGCATTGTGTCCCAGAGTGGGGACCACTGAGCAGGTAAGTAAGCATTAGATGGTGTGTCTTTGGGTGGAGGGTTTGTTTTTAAATGTGGAAGAGGAAGAATTTTCTTCCTTCTACCCTCCCTCCCTTCTTTCTTTTCCTCCCTGCAGTTGAGGCAATAGTAGGTGTTAAAAGCTAACACATCCACAGCGTTTTAGGGCTACTGTCACCCCAGGTCCTGCACTGTGCCTTGTGTACATGCTGGTGTCATCTGAGTGTCAGCTGTGGCAACTGTGGAGAGTGTTTCTCTTGGGAACACAGCA